CAGCAGGATACAATAATGGGGTAAGAGGGTTTCTGACCTTCTGGAGCATGGTGCCAGACCACTGTGCTTTTACTGTTTCAGGGCTACATTTTACAGCTCTTCTGGTTTCTCTCTTATTTTCAAATGATTTTACTTCTTTCTCCCAGCTTACCTGTCTGGCATCCCCTATGCACCCAAATGACTATTTTATTTTTTTTTTGCTCTAAATAGTTAGTGGCCTAGAAAATTAGAACAGAAAAATAGCAGAACCATTTCTACTACATATGAATGAATGGGCTCTGCTTGCAAATGTGAGTAGCTCCCTACGAGTAAATTGAAAAGGTTTGATGATATGATATCAGCTCAGTCTTCTAACAAAGATGTATGTTTGTTTGCTTTTTTGTTTGTTTTTTCATCGTCTTGGGCTTTGACTGTCCCCTTGGTTCTCTCCTAAGCTCTGGAGTTGAAATGTCAGAACTGCCACCATCTGAAAATCCTGTTGATTAGTTCCTATTGTCATACTTTGGCTTTAACTGACTTAAGTCAGTTTTTGGTTGCAATCTAAACGTTATTAAATTATTTAAATTCAAGCGTAAATGACAGTGCTACAGAGAGTATTGTAGCTTCAGTTCTGTGTCTGTTTTGAAATGAATATAATTGAACTTTGCCACTGTGTCACAGTTACAGTGCCTTTCTTAGATTCTCATCATTCTGAAATTACTTTACTCACTATAGGCTACTGATAAAATTGAAGTTTTTGGTGGGATGGGGCAGTTAAAACACAAGACTGCTTAACCAACACATTCAAAAGTGAGAGAGCCTAGGCATGATGAAAGGAATGAATGAATGAATATATTATGAGAATTTCCTGTCTGACAAATGTTGGTAACTGAATTTATTTATTTATTTATTTAACATATAAATGGGGAATTCAGATGTGATTTCTTCAGTGCAAATGAATAAGACCTATTTCTAGCAAAAGTATGGTTTTGGCTGTTATCTACCATGAGACCCTTTGGAGTAGACACAGAAAGATGTATAAAATTTGTTGTAAAATTTTAAAAAATCTGAGTGTAGATTCTTTTAAATACAGAAATAATGTTTAAACAATGAAAACAATACTGGGAGCGTCTTTACTGCATGGAAAGTAAAATCATGAATTCCACAAACATGAAATAAATGAATCATTCCAGAAATATGGCAATAGGAACAAAATTCTGCACAGCATTGTAATTAGCTGACCTAATACTTACACAGGGAAAAAAAAGTTGGTTCCCTTTTAGCCATAAGTATTTGCTGCCTTAGCAACTAAATCTGTTCATTTAGTGATTCAAAGTTTAGCTCAAACTTTTGGAATGAGTAATGTGTGATTTTGAAATGAAATATTAATGTTATTCCATTTTTAGGAAACTTGAAGAAAAACAGTAAAAGTAATATTAAGAGTGGAAACTAAGATTCCACCCAAGGGGAACGTTATTAGATATGGACTTGATCAATGTAGGTAGGCAGGTAATTAGGTAAGCATTCACTCCAGGACTCTATCAGCATCTAATCAGCATTTTAAACTGGGCTATAAGTAAGCAGAAAATTACCACTTTATATTAGTCTAGGAAAAACCTAATACATTGATTCTTGATATTGTTTCTGAATCGTCAAGATATTAGGCCATCCTTTCAACTAACAAAGAACATTTATTTTGTATTAAGGGAAATTTTAAAGCAAGATGGGTGTGGATTGTTTTCAGGAATAGTAAATGTAAGTAGTTGAGAGTTGCTAAAGCATTACCAGTTCACAATTAACATAGCAAAAATGAGTTTATGAACATTTTGGCTACAAGATAGCAAAGAACTGTGTAGTGGAATTTCTTTTTGTCTGAAAAGAACTGAATTTATTAATTGTTGTGTAATTATGTAGCCAAAGCTCAAGATGGCCAACTCACTATGAAGTTACAAAAATTTCAAGCCATAAACTTTGTGGAACAAGGAAAAACAGCTATTGCAGATTCTGTTTATCTGACTTTGAACCATACATCATGAGATAAATTTGTGAACAATTATCATGATCAAGAATTTCTGTCACATTCACTTCAACCACCAGTTTTAGAAAGAGACATGTTTTAAGAGAGAAAAAAAAAAAAAGGAATGAGAAGATGTCCATTTCTGTAATATGAGAAACTTGAACTCTGTGGTCTCTGAAGATCTCTTCCAACTCTACCTCATCTCTTCTCCTGTGTTTCTAATATTTTAAGGTAACAAGGAATGCTAGGAAATGAGCAACAGCTTGTTTCAAAGATTACTTAAGGGTCAGAATTTATTATTTCTAAAACTGTGACTTCCTTAGTATTTTTATATAATTTACAGCACTAATCCTAGATTTGCAGAACTTAATAAAATGTGCTGTGCTCTTGAACTGTACTTAGGGGATAAAGCCAAGGATTTTCTTTTGAAATTCTTAAACTGTTTTCTCACCATTCAGATTGATTTTTCTATTCCTGTCCTGCAGTTTTCACTCCACTTTCAGGAAAACAGGCTGTCAGGATGAAACCGAACTTTTTAGTGAATGCAAATCTAAAGAGCTTCCATTCTTGGTTTTATGTCGCCATAAAGAGAATCTGACAGAACTGTCACCTACATTTTAACCACACCCCTATAATAAGGATGTAACAAATAATTCTGAGAGTCATATTAATAGCAGGGAAGCAAGATTATCTGCCAATGTTCTCACAGTAAGCTAGTGATGAAAGAGGGAATAAAAGCCAGGCTTTCAGGGCACTGGGTAGGCATTCTGTGTGGTCTCCCACATTGCTTCTCTTTGAACTTTGCAATTCAAAAGCAAAAATACCATTGCTATAATGCCACCAAGGACATTGGCATTACACACCAACAGACAGTCCCCTTGTTCCTTTTTCTGACACTTTCTAAGCAACCACTGTCTTAGAGGGTAAGGTGAACATCACGAGGACATAATGAAGTACAACTTGCAATAGTTCCAAATTCTGTTTCTGAGCCTATGGAACTATACATACCATGGCCATCATCCAGGAATTCTGTGATGGTGGCTGAGGTGCATTTGGACCAGGGCTTGGATGCATCAATGCTGGTTAGGATGGAAGACATTAAGCGCTTATCTTCTGTGGAACCGAAATTTTCTTCACAGAATTTGGAATCGTCATGGGAGAGGCCAAGTAGATGTCCTAAGGGACAGAACAAATGAAGTGCAAATAATGAGTGATTTTTGTATTTCTACTTTTCCGTTGCAATTATACTAGCACTTGACTTTTTTCCTCCCAATTGTATATGAGTTTATTTTAACTGCCTTTTCACACAGAGACTGGACCCCCAGGTAAATTAAAGCTGCATGTAGTCAGAGTGTTCACTTCTCAATATTTAGAGGAAAACTGAAAAATTACACTAGAGTAGATGTTCCTATAATCCATCTGGATCACACATGCTCAAGGATATGTAGAAACAGGCCTTATTTAGAATCTAGAATTTGCAAGGCAAGTGTGGGATTATGTCATAGCCCTCACTACATATTATTTTGAATGCTTGTCTAATTTTCCATCTTCTCTGACGAACTATAAGCCGCAGGAGATCACAGAGCATCCCCCCGCCTACCCCCGCCATCCACTGTTGAAAAAAATCTGTATTTAACTCAGTGTTCTGAAAGTTACAAACACTTAATAGATGGTATTTGAATGTCAGTGACTTCTATTTTCTTGGCCAAGTAAATAGGTAGCCATAAAAGAGATGACTAGAGGAGAAAAAAAAAGATTTCAAGTAAATTTCTGTTTCCATGCATATGTAAGCTTGCTTCACTCCCATTTCTCTTAGTTATTTAGTGAGTTGTAAAGGTATACTAGTCCCACAAGTAAATGGTATATTATGAAGATATACCCACTTACACTTAAGAAATGTCTAAAGCACCAAGATGCCCATTACAGAGTGTTAGCGCTTGGAGAGAAAGCAAATACTGAGACGGTAAGTGATTGTCCACAACTACTCAGGTGGTGTTTGTGCTTAAGTCTACCAAACACGCTCTGTGCAATCCCACACTGCCGTTCCCATTCTATCAAGCTAGGTATTATTTCACAGAGTACATACCCCATTCTTATAATCTGACTAAATTTTTTTGATTACATAAGATTAATTTTCACATAGTCTAAAGGTATAATGCATTCTCCAATAAATTTAAAATATTGTTGAAAAAAATCCAGGACAACAGTTTGGAGAGACTCTAAAAAGGTAGACAAGTCATCCTAGTAGTGTTTTCTGCAAAGCTTTATAGAATCATACACAAACCACCAAAAAAAGAATGTGGAAAATACCACAGAAAAGTGATTACTGCATTCTCCTTGGGTTCCTGAATGCCAATGGCAGGAACTTTGTCCATTCTGCCAAGAAAAAGTCCAGTGAGCAACAGTAAAATCCAACAGAGATGAAATTTTTTATGCCAAATTCTAACTACTGTTGGCCAACTTGTTAAATCACTAACACCTCATAACAAAATTGTCCACTGAGCAGCTGGCTGATGTTGTGGTTGAAGTTAAGTGGCCAGGGCTCGGTGACCTTCTAAGGCTCCACATTTTGATGCTATTTATGCAGTTATGTACTTCAGTAGCATTTACTAGGCTAGTCAGTTCTCTGTGGGAAACCCTCTCACCACCACTCACTTTCTATTTGGTCAGGAGCAGAAACGCGCATCATAGTCTGTAAAATATCTTCCAAGTAACATGCAAAAGAAGACTGGAAGCAGCTCATCCAATTTTTGGTGGTATGTTGAGTTTTTCACCACACTCACAGAAGAATAGAACCTTTCATTCATGTCCTATTCAAAACTGCTAGCAGTTACCTAGTATATCAAACACCGTTGAGAATGTAGAATGTTTATCAGCTAACACTGTGGCATTACTGTGGAAGCTTCATACTTGAGTTTTTTCCCCCCTGGCATAGAAGAGAAAGGAAAGTGGCCTAAGGGGACCTCTATAATATGAATCCAGGTTTTCTACTTAAAAAAATGTGATCTTTGCACTCGATTTCATAAGATATTTATATTTATTTAATGGAGTAATAAGTCTTTTCCTCCAAATGTATCTAAATAAATAGCACTTTTTATATGCCTTTGTATTACTGCATCAAGAGATATTCCCTTCATTTGGAGGCTAAATTTTAGATTTCCGATTTAAATACAAGCCAGGTGGTAAACACCAAATTCGCTTTGAGGGACCTGGGAGAGTACCTCCATTTTTTCTTTCATACAGAATGGTGAAGCCTATAATGTTATATATCAATCATCTAAGCAAAGCAATTTATTTTAAGATATTTTGGTCTCTTTTAATGAATCTTTTGGCATGCTCTCTGGCCCCTAAATTGCTAATTTATCAATGTAATTTACTTGTTGCTGAAGATACATATAAGATATGCTTAGACGGCCATCAGAAAAGATTGCCATTCTGGGCATGAACACATCTCAGTTCCACTTTAGCAAGAGCTGAGACGAGATGTGAATTTTGTAAGATCTCCAAGAGTCAGTCAGAAAGGGACTGCCTGAGGGTCAGTTGAGAGAGACAGGCTCCTTGGAGGGAGGATGAATGTTCTGTTTTCCATGAAGAAAGCTTGTCAGCTGGCTGGGAGAGGTATGCTCTTCCAAGGACAAAGAGAGTCATGGGCAATGTGAAGAACGTTTAGGCACCCAAAGAAACAGGCAGACAGTGCCACAGAAGCTGGAACCAGGGCACAGCAAGAGAGACCCATGTGATTTCCCTTCAGGAGCTGAAGAGGAATTGAAATGGAAGAACAATGTGAGTGATGTCTGGAAGCTCTTCTGGAGAGACGTGACAGGCATACTAAAGGCTGTGAGCGGCCAAAGAAATGGCGTTTTCAAATGTGATTCCCCCAATCATTAAGCTAGGACACCTAATGTCAGTCTGAAATCTGCCAATATCTTTGAACCCTGAAATGACAAGTTACATATAAAAGCATATGCTATTTTCAAGGGACACTTACATTAGAGATCACACACTATGATATTCAAAGCTTATTAACAGAGAAAATTCTGGAATCTAGGAAATTTCAAATGTAATGTCACAGCTGACAACAACACATTTTAAGGAAATGCTGTGAAGAGCTTAATCAGAATTTATCACGATGTCACTGATTGCCTAGGAGTGACTTTTCCAGTGAGAGACTGTTCCTAAATCATCCACAGAAATGTTTAAAGATTAGAGACTAAGGATTTCTCCCACGAGCAGCCTTGGGCAGGATTAGTGCAGCTGAGATTTAAACACGTGTGCCCCAGAGAATAAACAATGTTGGAGAAAATATTCACAACTCCTAAAATAACGTATTGTTTTTTAATCAAAATGTATTTTATGATGAGTTTTTAGAGCAATGCAGACCAGAGTTAGTTGAGGGGTGGGGTCTTGGAGGAGTCAGGGCGATGGGTTCCAGAAAGCCACAGAGAAAGGGATTTTTTCCCTTGAAAGACAGAGGAGATAGTTCTTTCTCTAGTCCAGGTATAGGAAAAGAGGAGGATTCAAGGCAATTTGGAAAAGGTAAAGGAAGAGATCTGAGGAAGTTCAACCAAGCTACCTTAGTAAAATAGGATGTGAAAAATCCTAGTGAGAGGACAGGGCTGATATGGATTAAGGACCACAATTCAAGGTCTGGGTTTAAAGCAGAGGTCCCAAAGACTCGCTGCAAGGAAGCGTTAGCATTTGTATTTGGAACCATTTGTAATCAGTAGACGTGCAAAAGATTGAAGAGCGG